GGACACCTCTCTCAGGGCGCTGCAAGCCCCCAGCCTCTCCTCACATTTGTTTTAAACAAAAGCAATCTCTTGAAGCGGCAGGTGGACTTGCCCTGCGCTGCCACAGCTGTCCCACATTCTGCCACTCAGGCCCTGCACCCCTGCCGTGGACTCATTCACCCCGAGACTGTTGCTAGCAGGGGTGCTAAGAACCATCCCTTGCCGGAGCTCAGAAAGACGGAAGCACCTCTCCCTCGCCGCTCCTTTTGCTGCAGAGCAGTTCCTGCGTAGCCAGCGTGTGCTGGTGCAGCCTCACAGTCACAGAGCTGCCGGCCTAAGCAGCGGACACTGTTTATTCCTTGGAAAGCCTTTTGACATCCGAGCCAGGCAGAACCCCATTGGAGCCTCTGGTTCTCCCGCCTTCCTGCACTGCCTCCGTCCCTGAATCCCGGGTTTTTTGGAACGCTTTTGCAGCAGTAAAGCAGTGCCAGCCAATTTTCTGGCAAGCGCCCCATGAGCCTGGAAGCTAAATATTGCTACTGAACTAGCTGCTGCAGCACAAAGGTTTTTCTCCCCGGCGCCCTCTGCTTTGGCATATTCTGCCTGGGAGTTTAGGAATCGGGGAAAGCTCATTATGGGGGAAGGAAACAGGCATGCACTCTGGGGTCTCTTTAAATACCTGTGCGCCATGCCCAGGCAGTGTGGGGTAGTGGTTAAGAGCGTGGGGCTGGGACTCGGGCGATCTGGATTCGAGTCCCCACTCTCCCATGGAGCCAAGCGGGCGACTTTGGGCCAGCCACAGATTCTCATCCCAGCCTACCTCTCAGGGTTGTTGTGGGCATAAGATTGGGAGCAGAAGGAAAAGAAGGACGCCAGCTGCTTGAGTTTGTTGGAAAAAAGCAGGATATACATCTAAGAAATAAAAATAACAATAGAAGGAAATTCTGCCAGGGGCCGTCCTGGGTTCTGCTTCCCTGATGGTGTTGAAATGCGTTCTTGAAAACGCTCTTTTGGTTTTGGCCTGGCAGTGGCAACGCCATGGCTTGGCGTGTGGGGCCCCTGCTGAAGCCGTGTCCATGCACCATCGCCCCCCAGTCTCTGGGGGCAGAGCCTCAGGTGTGTGGTCCAGACCCGGCTTGCCTGAGGGCCAAGAAAGCCCCGCCCCCTTCCCTCGCCCTGCTGTATTTGCAGGGAGGCGGGTGGTTCCTGGGCTGATGGGGCTCCCTAGCCATTGCAGCTTTTGCTCTGAGCTCTGTTTGAGCCATCCACAGCGCCAAGCTCCATCCTCCAAATGGGCTCTTCAGCACGGCGCAGCAAGGATAGCTCCTAAAAAGCTCGGAATATAAGCGGCAGGGAGAAGTGGCTCTGGTGGAATACGAGTCGCCAGCATGCTTCCTCCGCTCAGCCATTTTCGCTGCTCTCCTGACTTCCGTGTATGTTTGCTTCCCCTTCTAAAGTGTTGAAGCAGCTTGTCCCCAGGCTCCGTTACCCCAAGAGCTCTGGGCTGCACCGAAAGAGTTCGTTTTGCATCTTAGGCCGGGGCCTGTTGGGCTCTGTCCTTGGACACCCCTGGAATGTGGCCCCAGAGTGCCTGGTTCCATGGGAAGAGGTTCTGCCCCCCCCCCCCGGGCATAAATCTTCCCACGCCATTTGAGCTGCCAGCTTTTGTTGTCCAGCTAGCCAAGAGAGCATCTGGGAGGAGCTGGACCGTCTCCGCAGAGCAGCACTGGGCTTAATCCTTGCGGATCGGGCCTTCTTGGACATGGCATGGTGCAGCTGGCCAGCGGGGACTTGGAGCAGGGGCTTCTCAGACTCAGGCGAGGCGCGCACCGCTCTTGACGTGTCGCCAGAGGAAGAGGGCAGCCGTGTGAAGGAGGCCTGCTCGCATTCAGAAGGCCCCTTCCAAAAGGATGGGGCCCAGGCATGCTCATAAGGAGCGTTGCTGGAAGTGATTACTAGGCCAGGCACAACCGACCACCCTCTGCATGCTCAGATTCGTGCTGGGTGCGTTGTGCTTTTGGGCCAATAGAGAACTCCTGCACGGAAATGGTCTGTGGCTTTTAACGGCACGGAGGAGGAGTCCCGGCTCACGGCAGGAGGTCCCCAGAGCATGGATGGCTGAGCCAAGATCCACGCTGTTCAGACGGGTTGGAAACTGCACGGCTCCTAAGCTCAGAGAAAGCTCTCCTGGGCGGCCGCTGCTGCCGGTGCTTCCCAAACGGCAGAAGCGGGCTTCCAGCGGTGTGGGGAAGGCAGTCCCATGGAAAGCCAGATGTGTAGCTCTTGGTGACACCCCCGTTTTGTGTGTGTGTGTGTGTGTGTGTGTGTGTGTGTTAAAGCAAGTGATGTGATCTCAGTTTGGACAGCTGAGCTGGGAGCAACCGATCAATATGATTGATCAGCAGACATCCCAATACGACTTGATCCACAGAAGAGAGGGCACGAGAGCATTGCCGAGTGAAGGGGAGTCCTAAAGCAGCCCTTGAAAAATCAAACAGCTGTTGAAACCAAAGCAGAAGGAGAGCAGCACGGTCTCTGTTCGTTCGTTCGTTCGGACGGCTGGCTTGCTCGGGAGAGCTCAGCTCCCGATTTGCGGAAGCATCTGCCCGTTCCACCAATGAGGCAGCCCGCTGGAAGTGTGAAAGCCAGGCACAGGAAATTCCCATTGGCTGAGGGCTCCCCCACCCCTGGGAATGCCGGTGCTGTTGCCATAGCAGCTTCCGAAAGCTGCCTCTCCGGAGTTAACCCTTTCCCCTCCGGCCCACTGCTTCGGCGCGCACCCAGCCTTTGTGTGGTTCCTGTGATGCGGCTCTCTTTCAGCTGCGTCCTTCCCCTTCCCCATCACGGGCCACAGATCAGAGGAGAGTTTCCAGGCCCAGATGCTGCATTGCATTGCATTGCATTGCACCCCTGCTGTGAGACCACCACGGTTCTTGGTTCTTGGTTTCCTGGTTCTTGGTTTCCTTTCGCTTCATTTGGGGCAGGCTGAGCGCGGGAGAAATGTGGCGTTTCATTATTTACTGAATGGGTGTTTGCAGCACCTTTCCTGCCAAGTTCTGCAGGGTGGCTTGCTATTGCTCCGTACAGAAACTAGCATGCAAAAATTATTACAGAAGAAAGAGCAAAACAAAACCCCCAAAGCATCAGAGTTAAGCCAGTGGCTGTCCATAAAGTCCTAAATTTCCCCAACGACCATCTCATCTTCCTTGATTTGTTTGCAAGCAATGCTTCTGGCCTCTTGAAGTTGGCAACATACAGGTTTGTGAGGGGGTGTCACACGGAGGTGGGTAGAGACCTGTTCTCCCCTGCAGAGGAAGGCAGGACACGCTCCAACAGAGCCAAGCTCAGGGAACCAAGGCTCAGTTTGGATGCCAAGAAGCACTTCCTGACAGTCAGGACCCCGAGGGTGTGGAATGGGCTCCCACGAGAGGTGGTTGAGGCCCCATCGGTGCGGGTGTTCAAGGATAGGCTGGACGTCCACATGGTGGGCATGTCGTGAGCAGAGCCGGCTGGTGCTGGAGGTCAGACTAGATGGCCCGGGAAGCCCCTTCTGACTCGCTCTGTTTCTATGTTTCTAAGTTGCTTGAAAACAGCAGCGGCTGTAGGTCCTGATGTTGAGCAGCTGATCAAAATACTTGACCCCTTCTAACGAGGCGGGGTGGGGCTCTGGAATGCTCTCCTTTTGTTTTCTTCCTCCTCCTCCTCCTCCGGATTCTGTGCTGTGGTCCTGGAAATCAGTCGGGTCAGTTAGCTGCCGCTTGCGCACCGCTGAATGCGTTTGCCACCCCGGCCAGATCTTCCCGTTGGGCCAGGGGCATGGAACCCCTCCCAACCAGGCCAAGCAAGATCAGCGTAGCTCTGCGGGCTTCCCATTTAAGGTTCCCGCCTCACCCCATGTACACAGCCGAGTTGCGCCTCAGAAAGCCACGTCCGCAAGCTGCAGTGGCCCATTTGAGTCCCTTGCAGCCTTCAGGCTCTCAGTGACTGCATCCAGACAACCCGACAACCCACACTCAAGAACTGAGCCATGGGTGGCGTAGAACATGGATCTTGCCGAACCCAGCAAAATGGCTTTTGTCTGGACCCATGGCTGATTGTAGGTTGCTCATGGGTGGCAAACCATGGTTCCTTAGTGGGGCTGGGTTCAGACAACACAGCAACTCACAGTCCGAGACAATCTGTGCTCGGCCCAGTCCTTGGGAGTGCCCTTGTCATGGGAAGCCGGACAATTTCTCTTTTGACATGGGTCAGTGCTCAGAACTGCCCCGAGGAGGTGTGATGGCACGCGCCTTTCCGAAATTGCATGAGAACTGGATGGGGTTACATTGCCCAAAAATGGGCCCCTGTTTCTTTCCTTCAAATCAGGCTTCTGTGCAGCTTTGCTCCCCCGACATCGTCAAAGCTTGAAGTATTTCTCCGAATGCTTAAGGTACCAGCAGGAAGAGCTTTTAAGCTCGGATCTGTGGCTGGTTTTTGGTCTCGCCCCTTTGCTTGTGGCTCGACTCCCTCTGCCTTTGACCCTCCACACCCCTGGAGTGTGGTCTCCGAGAGCTGCTCCAAAATGGAGTTTGGCCCGCGGGCAGAAAGAAGCCACCGCAGCCTCTTCTCGGGGTCCTTGGCCAGGAACCGATCCGTGAAGTGAGCGATGCAGCTGCTGCATCTGGCATGCAGGACGACGCTCATTTTGCACCAGAGAGATCTTTCCGTGGCTTGCGTTCGGATGCTCCCCTGCAGAAAAAAAGAGGGGAAATTAGAACGTATCTGTTCAAATATGATTTATGAGCCAGGTTTCTTGGTAGATCAGCTCATCTTCTGAGAAGCGGAGGAAGTGGCTGCACTTTGCAGATGCGTTTGTGGCTGCTCTCAAAATGGTTCTTAAAGCAAGAGGCACTCAGGATCTGTGCTTGCTGCCTTCCTCTGGAGGAAGCCAGCAGGACAGCTTGGGCATTTCTCGCTCGGCTTTGAAGTCGAGTGCATGAAAGGAAATGCACTCTACTTGGGGTCCTGCGTCGACTCTGTAGCCTGAACTGTGCAAAACAGGCGGTAGCCCTTCCAAGCCCCCCCAGACCAGCGGAGGCACAGATGCTCTGCTGCATGGCAGCCCCGGTAAGGGTAAGTGGTCTTGTTTTCAAGCAGGCGCAGGGAGGAGCTGAAGAACCGCTGATCTGGCAGGATGGAGTTCCAGCCGGGAAAGGGGGCTGAGCAGATGCTGAGGCTCCTTGGGTCCTGGTTGGCGACGTGGGTTCTTCAGGTTGCTGATGCACTTGGCTTGTCATGTGACTAACTTTCATCAAGCAAGCGGAGCAAAGCCAGCTTGCTGCACTGAATCACAGAACAGGAGAGTTGGAAGGGGCCACTGAGGGTCAGTGATGGTGCTTGAAGGCAAGTGATGGCCTTGCAAAGACAGGCAAATGTTTTTGTGCAGAGAGTGCTTGCACGAAAACAAAAGCACACAAAAAGGAAGTGTTTTTCAGCGCTGTGAGTAATTTTGGCACACTCCTGTTTTTAATGTCTGAGTTTTGCATCTCTGTGCGGGAAAGGGTTCCTCTCAGAGAGCCGTAACACAGGGAAACGCTGTGCCTCATGCTCTCTCAAGCCCTCCCCAAATTCCGTGCATGAGTCAAAAAGCCCTATTAATTTTAGGATGTTGAAAAGCGGATCTGATCCATTCTTTGGGGAAACTGAAAGATGAAAGGTCACAGCTGGCCCGTTCGATTGCGTTCTGCCCAAGGAGCTGGGGGAGCGGTGTGTTTCTTTCCCAGGCTTCAAGTCAGCGGCCTCTGGTTATTCCCCTGCATCTCCAGCAGAATGGACGAGGTGCCTGGGGGTTGGCAGCAGCTTCAGGGTAGCCAGGTTTCCTCTTTTCCGCAGGGGTAGCCCCGGTGGAAGGCCTTTCTTCCTGGGGTCTCCCAGTGTAGTGCTTGTTGGCTTTGTGGGGTTTGTGAACAGAGGGGGCACCCTATTAATACCACTGGACTTACCTGTAAGTAAAGAAGTGTGAATCAGCAACACTCCAGACCAGCAAAGTTCTCCAAATTCCAGCTAGAAGCACTTTTCGACTTGAGTCCATGTTTGAATCAGTTTGCAAGATTTGTGTGTTTCCTTTTGTATGGAATCCACACCTATTTCCACCCACATTTTTCCAAATCTGTGTCAGCTGCACACTTCTTTGGGAGATGCACATTCTCTTATCAAAGAGGCCTCCTGCCTTCTTTCTGTGCATTTTTCAAGTGGGCTGTGCCTGTTTTTGACCCGCGGGTCACCTTGTGAGTTGGGAGCACCTGGACTTTGGCTGGCGATTGAGTCCAAGCCCGTTCTCAGTTAGAAAGGTGCACACTGAATCCATCGTGATCCGAAGCGCTCTAAAATTAATCTCTCATAAATCCATACCGGGAGGCACAGCCACACGCATCTACAGTCAGCAGCCTGGATCCAGATTGAATCTGGATGGAAGTCGACTTCCCCGCAGCCCACAGCTGCCCCCGCAAGGCCCGGAAAGACAGCACGGAGAGGCAGCAGCCCTGACGTGCAGTGTGGGGAGGCCCCTGAATCGGACAGCCCTGTGCAAATTCCCTCCTCCTCGAGGAAGCTGGCTCCTGGATCCAGCCCAATATTTATACAGGGGCTTATAAGGGCTCTGCTTTGCGATGCTCGGAGCTCGGAGCCAGACCCGGAAAGATGAATGTTTATATTTTATCTCTGTGATGTGATGCATAAGTACTGGTCATTTCCTCTGTGCTGGCCCTTTCCTCACCGAAGGCTCCCGAACCAGCCTTATATGGCTTGCCACGCAGGCGCTTGTGCATGGCATAGACGGAATAGCTCAAATCTGAGCGCAGTCTGTGTGCAAATGAGGATTTCAAAGACGAACGGCTGGTAAACACGGCTGAGGCCACGCGCGTATGCTGAGGCTCTCTCCCTGTGCGTTCCTGCTTCTGCCTCCCCCCCCCCCCCCCTTTGCAAACAAGCCCAAGGCCCGACTTTGCCGTAGTGCCAGCCTGCATCCTGCATCCTTGAGAGACCACAGTGCCTGCATATCCTTCGGGAGGGAACATCTGCCCCCAAATTAATTTCTACCTCCCCTTCCCCTGCAGATGCATTTTTTAAAATACAGTGTTCTCACAATTGGGGATGTTGGCAAGATCTGCAAACGAGCTCAGATTGCAGTGAATCAGTGCTCCTTGAGTCTGTAGATTCGTAGGCGGCTTTTTGAACTTTGGGTGTGGAGCAGGGGATTTGCGTGAATGTAGGTTGGTGCAAAGGAACGTCCGTGCTAAAGCATCTTGTGCAAGCACACCTTTGCACTAACCAACACTTGTGTTGGGGCATGATGGCACCAACACCACCTGCAGACCAAGGCAGCCTCCTCAAGCTTAAAGTCCGTGTGTGGATGATGGACACAAGGGTGCATGATGGCCCCCCCAACATGGAGGGGTGGAGTTAATGACCTCTACGCCTTCCTGCTTGCAGCAGAACCTCTGGCTGAGTTTCTGTGACGGTGCATAGCGTTAAGACATTTTGGATGTTCAGGGAAAAGCGCTAGCAGAATAGTTGCAGCCTGGCTCCCAAGCGGCGAGGGGACATTGTCATTCTGGATAACATTCACAGTTCCTTCCTCCTCCTGGTTTTGCAGGGAACCGACAAAAGGTTATTTCTTTATGCTGTACTGAATACATTTATTTTTTATTCATTTTTTGTTGTTTTACATCTCTACACCAACCTCCTGCCATGGTGCACAAGGATTTCCGCCATTTTTAAGCGCAAAAACAAGCATGCAAACATTTTGTTGTTCCACGCTTCAGGCCGTCTCTGAATTATGGCATCCTTATGCTGGATGCGCTCCAAAGCTCACAGACCCGCACTATGATTTCCTTTATGGGACTGATCCATCTTTTATTTGGACCTGCTCTTCTTCTGCCTTCAACTCTCCCCAGCATGACGGTCTTTTTCAGTGAGTCTTGCCTCGTGGCCTTCCTGGATCCCACGGCCCGTTTGCCGGTTCTGCTGCCAGGAAAAGCCCCGGCTTGAGTCGATCCGGGCTCCCTTTCGCTGTTCTGTCGCTGGGGGAGCTCACAAGGCTCGCCTCTAGCACCACATTGCATGCACAGCCATCGTTGTCCTGCCGGCTTTCTTACTGTCCAGCTTTCCCACCCAGACGTAGTGAACGGGAATACAGCAGAGTGGCGGATCGTGGCCTTGGTCTCCACTGGCACGTCCTGACCCTAGAGGAGCTTGGCTTTGGTCTCAAAAGAAAAGCAAAACAAAAAACCATAGAGGGCAGCCATAGAAGCACGGGGTCGGAAGGGGCCGTGAAGGCCACCGGGTCCCTGCAGTAGCCGGACTCCGGCTGCGCGACCTGGCGCCTTCCTCAGGAGCCGACGGCCTGTTCCCCGGCCTGGGCTTCCCTGCTTCCAGGAAGTAAGCAGGCCATGGCCAGGGAGGGCCGGCGGGTTAAGGCATATAGGTACGTGAGGGATGGGCAGAGACCTGTTCTCCCCTACAGAAGAAGGCAGGACGCGCTCCAACAGAGCCAAGCTCAGGGAACCAAGGTTCGATCTGGATGCCAGGAAGCACTTCCTGACAGTCAGGACCCCGAGGGTGGGAATGGGCTTCCACGGGAGGTTGGTTGAGGCCCCATCAGTGCGAGTGTTCAAAGATAGGCTGGACATGCACGTGGTGGGCATGTTGTGAGTGGAGCCGGCTGGTGCCGGGGGTCAGACTAGATGGCCCAGGAGACCCCTTCTGACTCGCTCAGTTTCTGTGTTTCTAAGGCAAGGGTGTGGCACAGGTTGTAGATGGAACCTCTGCTGTGGTGGCTGAGCTGAGCTTGGGCCACGTGACTTCAGGTGGGGGCTGACGGGGTGAAATGCTTCTCCTTCAAAATACATCCATTCCTAGCAGCTAAACGACTAGCAGGACAGAGAACAAGTTCTGCAACCTCCCCCAAGGCACTAGCTTTCTGCATGCAGGGAGTTCTATTCTGAAGTCCCGTTTGAGCGTCACTTTGAGAGAACCTCAAAGCATTTTTGCCCCACGCTGTCCAGGAAGTCTCCCACCTCCCCTCTGGCCACTGCATGTGGTTTCTAGATGGCCTCGCCCCTCAGAGCCAGCGAGGGACGGAAGAGCTGAGTGTGCGCCCTCCACGCTCCGGACCTCCGTCTTGCTGGAGGGAGCAGTGAGGGCGCGAGCCACTGGTGCAAGACCCAGTTCCACGCCAGAGCGGCCGAGCCTCTTGGGGAGGCCATGGAAGCGATTCCCAGGCCACACGCAGGAGACCAGCGGACAGGAAGGTGCTGCAGTTTGTATGATGCTCCATGGGGCCTGCCTTCCACCCTGAACCTCGCAGCGAAGGAGCATGCGTCCTCCTTCTGAGCAAGCAGTCCTGCGACAGGATTCGGCGGCCCCTTGGACCGGTCCCCTCCGTGCCTCTCTCTCCCTTCTCACCACTGTGGGCACCGGCTGCTCTCGTGCTGCTGCTTCTGTCTCAGGATAGCCACCACCTGCTTGCTTGACCGAGGCGCAGGGCAGCCAAGGCCCTTCCTCTTCCTCCCCACCACCATTGTCTAGTCCAGAGCACGAAGCAGGGAAACAGGTGTGTTGCACTGCAAGAGAGGAGTTTTTGGTGCCAGGCTGTGGGGCCTCGGGAGATCCTGCAGGCCTGCTCGATGCCTCCCGGATCTCTTGACCGCTTTTGCACCCCTCTCTGTGGCCTGGACCTTGTCTGGTGTTCGCATCTGCATCATGAGCACTGCGTGCTGGAAAACAATGCCGCGAGGGCCGATTGAGGTGTGTTTGGGGCAAAGGGGTTGAGCCCTTTTATTCCTGTCTTGTCGCCCCTGCAAATCAGGTACCCAGCAGCGGTGGAGCAGCTTGCTCAGCTGAGCAAGCAGGTGCTTAAGATTGTCTTGAGCATGTGTGGCTTGATAAAAAGGTGCCTTTATAATGTGCTGCCTTTTATGATGAATAGTGTGAATTACTGTTGTTGTTGTTATATTTTTTTCTGCACAGAGGTCTCCCACTGACACCTTTTCTTTTGCTCTCTGTTCTGTAGGATCAATTTGACAATCTCGAAAAACACACGCAGTGGGGTATCGACGTTCTGGAAAAATACATCAAGTTTGTTAAGGAAAGGACCGAAATTGAAATCAGCTATGCAAAGCAACTTAGGTGAGTCAGAGTGTTTGTTTCGGAAGAATCTGACAAAATCGGTTTTTTGAAGGGCCTGCTAATCCAGAAAGAATAAAAGTGGTGCCCCTTGTATCCTTTGAAATGAACCTTTAAATAAGGCAAAGACCGCTGTGTCGGGCCGTGAGGGAAACAAGCAGGCAAACCCGCAATTGGACAATACTTGGTATCAGGACCAGCCAAAATTCCACTGGAAGGTTCCAGCTTTCAGGTTATCTAGGATAGGACTCTTCCTCCGGTTTGCGGGTACAGAAATTTGGAATGAGGGAAGAACAGAACAATCCGTGGACCCTGAGGTTTAGTTGTACCCAACCTGGAGGTGCAGATTCGCAGTGCAGGCAAATGAGTCAGCAGGAGGCAGCAGGTTGATCTATTTGTGTGTTTCCGTTCCACGCTGGGAGTGGGAGAAGGTTGCAGGGCTAATCCCGCCACAGGCTTGAACTGAGACAGGTGGCATTGGCAAAAGAAAGTTGGGCCGTGGAGCGGTCCTTCTTGTGATGCCAGCGCTGCCTCTTTCCGGGGTTCCTTTTCCAGCAGGCAGAATTCTGTTCCCTGCTGAACTGCTCCTGGAGCGAAAGATTCACGTACCGATGCTCAGCTGAGGTCCCCGCAAGTTGGAGACTGTGTGGCCGGCTTGGAGCGCCTCTCCTGGTGCAAGCCGCCTCTGCCCTGCAGTCCCCACGGGAGGCCTTCTCGGGGGCCTCTTCTGAGGGTGGCACAGGGGACAGCGCAAGGGGAAGGGCCTTCTCGGTGTTTGCTCCTTGATTTGTGGAAGGCTCTGCCAAGTGGGGCCCACTGGGTGCCAGCACTGTCACCCTTCTGGCCTCGGGGTAGGATTTTCCGCTCTCCGCTGGTGCTTGGGGGTGTGTGAGGAGCTCCTCCGTTTCTCATCGACGGTGTTTGTGCATCTCGTGGGACCCCTCAAGGCTTCTGCTGGGAAAGGTGTTGCAAGGGGAAATCCTACAGCTTCTTGGCGGCATCGAGGGGCCTGCCAGGTCCCTCAGATCCCCAGATTCAGGTGCGCAGGCTCCTTCCAGGAGGCCCCGAGGAGGGGAGACTGTCCTCTCTGGTTCCCCCCCTTCCAAAGCGCCCCACCTAGGCAGCCAAAAGCAGCTGTCTGGCGCGCATGCAGAGTGAAAGGGGCCAGGAGGGCGAAGCTCAGCCCTGGCGCTCACGCCGCGAGTCTGGGGGTCAAAGATCATCTCGGTGGGATTGCACCCTAAGAAATGTAAAAAAAGATAATGGTCCTGGTAACGGTGGCGATGTGGAGCAGCCCTTTCGGTCTGGCCCAGCGACGTTGTGCCCGCTCCAGGGGCCGCGCGCCGCAGCCTGTGCCGCTGGCCCCTTCCAGCCACGTTTTGCGGGCAGTGTGGCTTCCCTTTGGTCTCTGGACGCCTCCTCATCTGCGCCGTGTGAGGGCAGGGGCAGGAGAGGAAGGGCAGGGCCGCGCTCCCTCTGCCCAAGCCGCGTCTCAGCGCCTCTGTGCGCGTGCAAAGCCCTCCGGCGCGGCGCAGTGCCAGTGCACGGCCGGCTCCCGGGGCGAGGCGGGAGGCGGGGCGTGTCTCATCGCAGGGCCCTGAGCCCCTTCCAGGCTGAGGAAGCTCCCTGGGACCAGGCCTCCGGGCCAGTGGTGCCGGAAGCAGGCGGGCCGAGACGACCCACGTCATGCCGCTTTAGGCTCCGACTGCCAGCAAGGAAGGCGCTTCCCCCACTTTTAGGCTGGGGGGAAATGCAGCAGGAAAGTCAGTCCCCGCCAAACAATCAGTGGCGGGAAAGCGGGGGCCGTTCTGGGGAGCCCAAGAAGGGCCGGTTTGGCCCACCGGTGTGAGGCTCAAGGCCCTTCCTTTGGCAGAGCGTCCCTGCCGATTCCGGTCGGCACATCGAGGGGCGCGCTGCTGCTCTCGGTGGGAAACCGCCCTCCGTGGTTATTCGTGCTGACACATGTGCCCTGCCTCCCATGCATCGCCCCCTGCCCAAAATTTCACCCCACCCTCCTGGAAACAGCGGGGATCTCCTTCCGTCATCTCACAAGCAGGCACCTGTGTGTGGCTTCCGCGTGGGGTCATCACATGGGGAGCCCCATTTTCGCTCAGCCCGAGAAAGACCGCATACGTCGCATTATCCTCTCCCACCTCTTTTATGGCCTGCGTCGGACACGGGGGCCGAACCGCATTCGGCGTGTCCCTCGGCCTGTAATTGAGCTCCCCACCTGACGTGTGTCTTCATTCGGCCGTGCGCTTCGCTGTCGGGAGGGCGACCTTGCTGCAGTTCGGAGCGTCGCCGTTCCATATATAGCAGGCAAGGCCACCGTCGCATAAAATGTGCTCTCCTTGCTGTCAGGGGGAAGGTGAAACCGGTGCTTAAAAGTCGAATGGTGGCGGGCAGGACGCATGTATCCCCGTCTGGGATCCTTCAGGTGCCCAGGACACTGGGATTGGTGTGGTCGGGCACCTACCGAGGACCGTACCACGGGAGGGTCTCCTGGCAGAGCCCTGGGGGTCCCGCCCCCCCGCGCCCGCTTGTGCCCCGGCCCAGCCAGCTTGCTCTGTGGTGCTCTGTGCCACTTGCCCCACAGATTTGGGGCTGCTCGGGGGCCCCTTCCCAAGCCCCAGGCCAGCCTTCGCCCTGGCATGGCCTAGCGGCCACTTCGGAGTGCTGACCCCCAGCGGGAGAGGCAGGGGACTCTGCTTTGGGCAGGCCAGGCTTTGTTTCAGGGGAGCCCCTGGGCCTAGAGCAGAGTTGGAAGGGGCAGGAGGCCACCGGGTTGCCCACCCCGCTTGGAGGATGGTCCAGTTTCTTCTTGGAAGTCTCCAGTGGGAGAGCCTGGCAGCTGGTGCCCCTGCCGTCTTGCTCTGACCGTGAGGAAACCTTTCCTGGTGTCCAGCCTGAACCTGGGCTGTCACCGCTTGAATTGATGCTTCCGTGTCCTGCACTCTGGCATCAGCAAGAAGAGATCGTGACCTTCCTCCATGAGGCAGCCTTTGAGGTGCTCATGCAGTGATATCATGTCCCCTCTCAGTCTTCTCCTCTCAAGGCTGAACATGCCCTGTTACCTCAGTCTCTCCTCAGGGACACCCGAGGAAAGGGGGCTGGGGAAGGAAGAGGAAAAGAGCACGCGCCAGTGTGCCTAGCTGCATTTATTTCCCGACATTTTATTTCCTGACATAAGGAACCCGGGTGCCTCCCATGGTTGTCCCCTTCTCCATTGCATCCTCACAATAACCCTGCAAGGTAGGCCAGACCTATGGGTCACTGACTGGCCAGTGCACTGTGTGGCCAAGTGGGGAAGCAGAATGCAGGTTCCCTGCCACTGTGTAGCTCTTCATTGTCCTGCTCTCCCTTTGCCTCCCACCCATCAGGGGTGGCCCTGTGGGCGCTGGGGCCATCTGGGTGCCATCCTTGAACAAGGAGGTCCAGTGGGGCAGCAGGGGACTCCCACGGCCTTTGCCCCTTGCAGGCGTTGTTCTGAGCTTCATAGGAGCGATGGCTGGTTCTCCGGGGGTGAAGGTTTGAGGGGAGTTCAGCACAACGGATCGCTCCTGTAATGCTCACAATAAAAGCCGCCGTGGATAACGAGAAGTTGGCACCCCTCCCCGCCATGCCAAATAATAAATGACAGACACATTTCTGTAGAGCAGGAAGTTGCGAGGCGTAGACGGTCTGCCCTTGAGCAGCAGCAGAGGGTCCTTTGCGCATCAGCACATGGACCGCACCGGCCTCCCTCCCAAGCACCGGGGGACTTCTTGAGCAGGCCACTTGCGCATAACGATCCCAGGAACGCCACCGCAAGGCTCCTGGGGTGGCGTGGGGGCACACGAGCTTTGCCACCGCTGCGCCATGCCCGTTGCAGTGCAAGGATGCCCCGCCGTGGAAGGATGTGGCTGCGAACGGAAAGAGCCAGCCCAACGCCTCCCCGGAGCCGCCGGTTCCTGCCACCTCAGTGAAGGCCCCCAGCGTGATTCCTCTTACTGGGATGACGTTCGGTGCCGTTTTGCAGAGCCACGCACTTCCTTCCTGGCTCTGCTGGAGGCCAGGAGTACTGAGGGGCTGCACAAAGCTGCGTCGAGCCATCGGCTGGGCCAGCTCGGTCCCTTTGGTCTGGACAGATTTGCTGCCAAGTACTGAAAAGATCTGGGGGCTGAGGCCCAAAGAAGGCACACATTTGCGCGTGCTGAGTTCCCTCTGCTCTGCACTCTGTGTGTGTGTGTTTTGAAGGACCCCCATCTCCTAAGGACATGCAGATTTGTAAAAAGGAGGTGTACGAACAGTGGGGAGGAGGGTATTTGATCAGGAAACACACACACACGCACACACACACACACACAAGCAAAGAGACTGAGGACAGCCAGAGGGGAGGCCCCGTGGGCCAAAGGACGGCCAGTCCTGGGGGACCCGATGCCCCTCACGGCCCCTGGGCCTCTATCTGCCAGGTGCCGGGGAGGGGCAGATGGGCTCCCAGGCTCATATCCAGGGCCCAGACTCAGTGGGACAACCTCGGGTGCTGCCGTTCAGGAAGCAGGTGCTTCAGCGTGGAATCCGGTCCTTGGGCGGAAAGAGGCCCAGCACGTGGCCACTTGCACCCGCTCAGACATGGGTCGTCTCGCTTCTCCCGCCGCGAGCGCGCCTCGTGTTTTTCTCCCATTGCCTGCATTTGGGGAAATCCAACTGGGTTTCTCCTTCAGTTCCTTTGCTACATTTTTTTTTTTTGGCCACAGAATATGAGACAAAATTGCCAGCAGTGAAAAAAATGTTTGACTTGGCCTGAGCAGAAGAGTTTGTTGTGAAAGAGGAAATGTGCCAAGTATGAAATGCAAGATCTCAAATGGGGAAGTAAAGCCCAGTTGAAAAATGCCACTTACTGCCTTTATTCTTGGTCTTCCTAAAGCTAGTCAAAGAAGTTGAATTTTGATCTGTAGGCCATGCGTCTCCCATCCACCACCTTGAACTTGGGTTTCTGAGACAAAAAGCAGGTTATCAGTGGAACACAACAATTGCATAAATAAAATGATAATTACCAGCAAAAAGTCAGGGTGGATTCCTGGATTCCACCGGCTCCTTAGAAGTTTTCCTTACGATTCTTCATAATATCAAATTCCATTGCGTCTCTTTTCTAAAATCTCCAAGGAAAGTCTTTGAGAGGCATTGCAGAATGTGGCAATGCTACATTTCGTACTTCCTGTGCAATAAATTGTCTTGTTTCCTCTGCTATTTAATTTTACCTCTCCTTTGGGGTTGCGGCTGAGCAGGGGACAAGGTTATGTCTGAGCCAGCTGCTCAGTATACTTAGAAATTGTGTGACACGCTTAGCAAACGAGCCGAGATGTTGAGGGTGGGAGGAACCCTTCGGACTGGCAAAGCACAAAACGTGCACTTGATGCTACCTACCGAATGCACGTATATATTTTTAGATCTGAGTTCTGCAGTGAAAGCCACAGTTTTCACTGGGGAAGGCTAGATTTTTTTAGGAGTGCTCCTAAGTCTGGAGACTTCCATATATCAAGGTCTGGGGTGTGGGACTGCCCCATTTAGTAAGGGGTTGTTTTTAAGGAGCTATACTGCCCCTTGGCTCGAATGCCGGAGAAGCAACACCTGCCGCTTCAAAATAAGCTGCACTGTAATACACAAGTTGCAGTTGAAGCAAACAGTTTTCGTCGTTTTGTTTTATGGAGATCTGCCACTTTGCGAGCATTTCTGTTTGAAGCGGGGGAGAGGCACCCTCGTCAGAGCGATAAACCTCTTGGGTCCCCTTTGTAGCATGTTGAACAGGGTAATACCTTCACGGTCCAACGCAAAGATCGATGCCAAGAGCTGCGCGCTTTCCGCACCTCCAGATCTCTTTTTCAGGCGAGATGTTACGAAGAGCCGCTAGGGCAGCGAGTCACGGGGCCAGGGCGCACAAGCGCTCCGAGGGGGCTCTGCTGGACTCTGTGGTGCTTTCCGCTTTCACTGCCACAAGGACAGAGTTGGGGGGCCGTGGGGTGGATTCCCAGAAAGCCCCGCCCTCCTCCTCTGGTGCTGTCCTCGTCTTGGTGCCGTGCCGGCTTCCCCCCGGCAAGGCCTCCACACCCCTCCCACGGCTTGCCTGCCAGCACCAGCGCCTGCACGCCGAGTTTGGGGTCTCGGAGCCTTCGGCCCCACCTGAATCGCAAGAGGCCGTCTCTGTCGCTGCAGCGCGGCCCCAAGAGCATCTCCGAGATGGAATTCGGTCCCTGGACTGAAGGCGGTCCAAGGCCCTTTCCCAAAGGCTGCTGGGAAGGAGAGGGGCAGCAGGCAGCCCTGGATGCTGCATTTCTGGGGGGGAGCAGAAGCGCAAAAAACAGAGCGAACTAGAAGGCCCTCCCGGTCCATCTAGTCGGACCCCCGGCTCCAGCTGCCTCGGCTCACGATACGCCTGCTGTGTAAGCGCAGAACCTTTTCCATCCCAGGCGAACCAGCCTGGCCCCTCACCTGGGGGATCCAGAAAGAGGAGTCAGGGTGGTGCCCTTTATGTCAGCACGGCCAGAGGGGCAGAGATGGAAGAGCCCGTGCAGTCAGCTCAGATCATTTTCTGGAGTGGCTGGAGAGGACGAACACCCAGAAAAAAGGAAGGCAGGGTGCACGTCACGTTCCGGGGGTCTGCAGCATCCCATAAGCTTTCCCCCTTCCTGCCCCACCTCACTTTTGGTGATGCCTGAAGAAGAGAACTGGAAATCCCAACTGCTCTGAGTTGTCCTAGCAAAGCTATTATGTACATCGATTCTGGCAAGTTTTGTGCAGGCAACACGGCTTGCTGGCGTGTTTGATCATTAGATATTTATGCATGTGTGTCGGTGGACACATCGAAAGGCAATTTATTAACACTTACCTTATTCTCTTTTTATTTCATGTTAGGAACCTTTCAAAGAAATACCAGCCCAAAAAGAACTCCAAAGAAGAGGATGAATACAAGTATGTTTCCATAAAAAATGTTTCTGAACGATTTCTGGAATGGGACTGACACAGAGTAAATCAATATTCAGGCCACCTTTTTCATCACATTCCAGCATTCAAAGTATTTTGTGATGGAAATGGATGACCAGCATCCATATGGAGCAGTGTTGTGCAGTGGTCAGAGTGTTGGATGGGGTTGGGAGGCCTGGGCTTGAGTCCCCACTTGGTGATGAGGCTCACCAGCCGTCTTTAACCCAGTCGCTGCCTCTCAGCCTGATCTACCTCACAGGGTTGTTGTGAGGAGGACCATGCAAGGTGCCTGGGTTTTTCTGCGTGGTGAAAAAAGGATAGATACAAATGCAACACTGTGTTAATGTCTGGCAGTGCAGTCATGGCAGACCACCCTGCCAGCCATCTTCCCCAGCACACTGCCTCTGATACTGGAGGTAGCCTAGAGATTCCCAGACTCCATTTTGGGAAAGCTCTTGTGGGCTTCATACCTGAGGGTAATGTGGCCAAAGGCAGAAAGAATGGGACACAAACACCAAAAAGTTTAGCTCACAGCTTTTTTGCAAAGCCCCCTTTTTCCTTTTTTTGAATCCAGGTGAAAACCTGCACAAAAGCCAGGTAACCCCCAAACAAGCAGCTGCTGTGGGGCTGGGAAGGGTGCGGGCCGCCAGGCTGGGGCAGAACTGGCCCTTGGAGCCCCCTTTTCCAGGGGCAAAATGCAGCATTGAGATGTCCTCGCGTGTCTTTGCCTCTTTCAGGTACTCGTCATGTTGCGCCTTCTTAGCCACCTTGAACGAAATGAACGACTACGCCGGGCAGCACGAGGTCATTTCGGAGAACATCACCGCCCAGATCACCACTGCGCTGGCCCGCTACGTGCAAGAACTGAAGCAAGAGAGAAAAGCGGTAATGCCGTTTCCTCAGCAAACCATTTCCAATTCATGAGGTTTTGCCTTGGATTTATTTAACTTTATATCCCCCCCCCCCGGCCAATTGCAAAGATTCAGTAAGGAAAAGGGCATTGGCCTGCTCTTTGCTCCAGTAAGACGGAATCCCCCCCCGCTTTTTTAATCAAGTGGAAATGTTGAACTACCTGCACCTGTTGCTGATATAAATCAGAGTCCCAAAAGCTGATTCTAGTCAGTCACTGAGTGTTTCGATATTCTCTCCCTGCAGACTAGACAAAGTCTGAGGCCGAACGAGATTCAGTGAACGGGTTCGCTCCAGCATATGGCAGCCTGCAGGGGTGGCTGGGAAATCCTGAAGAGATTCAAATGAATTTGAATTTCTCTGAATCAGACTCACGGATTTCTCAGCAGCATGGCTTTCCCCAAGTCTCACAGATTCTGTGGACCGTCACATGTTATTACTGGAAATGTATGCAAATCACTTACCAAAAAAAAAAAAAAAAAGAAAATGTGCATTTTTCCTATATAGACTATAAGTGAAAATGTGCATTTGGGGTAAGAACATTTGTGAATCTGCAAGGAGTTCTGGGTTTTTGGAACTGCAGATTTGCACAAATGCGTGTGAACCCGCATTTGGGGAAAGGCCCAAGAATCCAATTCCATCAGCGAGCGGGAGGCAGAGTGCGATGCACCGGGCAGCCCTCAAATGGGACAAGCTGTTAGCAAAGTCCCCGCAGCCCAGCGGCCAGGGATCAGACAATATGCTGCAGCGGAAGGCGCTGGAGACCGTGCATCAGCCGCCCGCCGCCCGTCCTTCGCTCCAGTCCTGGAAGAGTCTTTGGCAAGGGAGAAAGGGGTCAGGGTCACCGGAACCAGTAACATGCAGGCAGGAAGAGCTGGAGCCCGTCTTCTGCGAGGGAAGGTGGAAACCTTTGGGGACTTGAAGCTCAGAGGCACAAAGCGGGGAACACAGCTGAGGCTTATGGAACAATCTGCGGTGCGGCGCAAGGGTGCCAGACCTTGTGGCCCCGGCCCACCCCCGGCCCACCGGCACCCCCAGAGGGCCTCACCCTGTCGGTTGGCCACCAGTCCTTTCGTGGATTCCCACCATCTCTCCATTCTGAAGAGGTGAGCTGCCTCCTCAAGGCCAGCTTGAGGTTGGGCTTCAGGTCCCCGGCCCTGAGAGCCTGGAGCCGGCGTTTTGCCCGTGCGCCTTTGCCCCCCGCCACCACCACCACGCGGCCCACGGAAGCCTCTCCCGGTTTGGAGGGAAAGAGTTCCGGGGGTCCCAGGATTGCCCCCGCCACCACCGCCACGCGGCCCACGGAAGCCTCTCCCGGTTTGGAGGGAAAGAGTTCCGGGGGTCCCAGGATTGCCCCCGCCACCACCGCCACACGGCCCACGGAAGCCTCTCCCGGTTTGGAGGGAAAGAGTTCCGGGGGTCCCAGGACTGCCCTGCCAGTGCCGCCAGCTGCATGCTATGATGCAGCAGGCCCGGGAAAGGGCCGGGGTCCCTGGGATCTTGCCGTGGCGAGCAGAGCGGGAGCTCTGGCCCGGGATCCCCGCGGCTGGCTTGGCGTGGAGGCAGACACGTCTGCGGGCGGCTCGTCTCAGTTTGCAGGCGCTCTAGAGGGGCGAGTGCTGAGCAGGCGGCTCTCCTCCCGGGCGCTCAGTGCCCCCACCCCGGCTCCGTGCCGGCACAGGCTCTCGTTGTTCCCTTGCCACAGAGCATCAATAATGCATTGGCGCTTGCCAGCGGCGCCGTCGGAGATGACGGCTGTTGGTGTGATCTGGCGCGGCGGGGGGCGGGGGGGGCTGCAGCAAATGAGAGGTTTCGGGTTTCCAGGGGGAATTCTCCTGCCTCCCTTTCTGCATGGAAACCTGCAATTAGCTCCCAGTTGAAAAGGGAATGATTAGAACCTTAGAATATTAAGTTGATCTGCAGCAGAAAGTGCTTGTGCTTTACACGGAGGGAAGGGGGGCAGCCCGCCAACAGAATCCCTGCGTCTGACTCACGGCTGACTTGAATTCCCGCTTCTGCTTATCCTGAATCTCCAAAGCACGGAATTTGTTTCCATTTCCATGGGATTCCACCTGGCTTTGGCATGAACCCAGAAAAGAGCACTCTGAGCGAGCGCAGGGGGCGCATCTCTCTCCACACCCCGCCACCCAAGGGTGCAGACCCTTTTTCAGCCCGAGGGCTGGATTCTGCGGTGGGATGGGCAGGGCCCAAAAGCAGAAGGGATGGGGCAGAACACCCCCGGATACGAGCATGTTCCGTCTGCCACATTCCCCCTTGCAATTGTTTGGTGGCTTCGCAGCTTTTGAGCAGCTTCCCTCTCATTCCAAAAGGTTGAAATGTCCCCCCGAAAGTTCAGCTCCTAGACGCCAGAATTTTAAGCTAGAAAGTGCTGAAACCTGGGGGTTGGGCCCCTCCACCTTGGCCATCAGGGCTCAGTGCTGGCATGCTCTCCCAAGGGCTTTTCAGAATGGAGCACGGCCACACGCGTAACGCTGAGCAAGCGGATCTAAGCCAGGCTTGGCAGGAGAGGAGAGTGGAATCGCAGGGGCAGGACAGCAGACAGGAACACGCCTCGCAGATCTGCCGAGAGCGACTCTGACTAGATGCAGGCGAATGAGTGAAATCGTTCCGTTTCTTAAGGACAATGTGAAGTCAGACCAGAGACCCCGGCAGTGGGGAGCTGAGCATTTTTGACTTCTTGTCTCTTGCCTGTCAGTGTATGAGAGATTTCTTTCAGGTCATTTTAAATCCGGGTTTACCCAGTTCACGCCTTCTGGAGCAAACCTAGATTTGGTTGCAATCTGTAGTGGAGGTCTGAATATTTCCAATCTTGCAATACGATTAGGGAATTTCTTCACACCCCCAGAAAAGGATTCAACAGGATGCGTTTATTAGGAATATGCGCATGAAAAATGGCGTGCTATTGGAAAAGCACACGCCAATGTGCTTTCATCAATGGGGTAAGAACGGGTTCATGTCAAAGGCGGGCACATCAGACACATCCCTAGGACAAGAAACACCAAAATGTGGTTTTTCGTGTGGAAAGGGGGAAAGGTGTGCTGCCTGAAACGCTCTTGGGCCTTGATGCCCCTCAAGATGGACTTCAGGGCGTTTTGGTCTGCTCAAGATTTGCTGGTCTGCGTGTCACGGCCTTTCAGGTCAGAGGTTTTCCTGCCTCCTCCTCCTCCTCCTCCTCCTCCTCCTCGAGGGTTTCTGTTTGTGAGGCTGTGAACAAACGAGGGATTGGGGCTGAGCGCTCCGCACTCTCTCCCCCCTTCAGGGTTAAGCACAAGAATTTTCTTCCAATTAACAGGCTTTTCTTCTGCTAAACTGCAAATGAGCAAAGCTGGTGAAGGCTACAGATGAATCATTCCACAGAAATCAATAACAACCGAAAAACAGGTTGCGTTGGCTTTTTATACCATCCGTCCCTTGATGCAACGCAGCCCAGCTGAAAGTTGATTTCGGACTGATCATATTTGGGCAATGCCTTCCCCTCCTCACAGTCAGAATCCCCCAGACCAAGCCGCTGAAGGTTGTTGAGGGGATAAAGGATGCCCGAGTTTAGTGTGCGTCGAATAGCAGCAGGTGTTGCTGTGTGAAAGGGGCGGGCCTTGCTCCTTTTTCTCCTCTCCTTTGCCGATCGACTGCAGATCGTTCGGAGATCCTACCAGACAGGATCCTGAGCTGCTTCCCACACCCCAAGGCTGTGCCCTCACGAAGGCCGGCCTCCCCACAGAATGCATTTATGTGTCAATTCAAAGCTTTCGTAGACCATCTATGGCGTCTCAGGATGGTTTCAACAAGCAACAGACGAAATGGCACAGCATCCATTTAGGCCCTCATGGGCCCCGGTGCCCCTGACCTAGTGCCCTTACGGTGGACTGGACTGTAGCTCCCAGAATTCTGGGCCACTAGCCACAATGGCAGGGGCTGATGGTGGTTGAAGTCCTGAGTCAGAAAAGGCTGCTGTAGCCAAAGGTCTCGGAAAGCTTTGGAAAGAAAGAGTTAGCATGTATGATGAGGTTGAGGCGTTCCCTCCTGAGAGTAGGCAAATCCGTCCCAGATTCCGAGTCCAGCGGACGGCCTGATTCTCTTCTTCCGGCACCATCTCCCCAGTGTACGAAATCAGATAAAGGCCTCCAGTAGTCCTGTCAGCTCCCCTGGGAAGGCCTTCAGCTCCCTGCTGAGACAACACCTGCCTGTAGTCCTCACTGGAGCACGGGCCACTTGGAGCTGTCCGTGGTGCCACTTTATTCCTGCCTTGATCTTGCTTTCAGCTTCCCCTGTGGGCCTCCCAGGAGCACAGCATGCGACCTGCACGGGGCAAACTGGCTTTGATCCTGAGCCACCACTGCTCTGCACCTGGTCCTCTCGCCTGGGCTTGCGATTCTAGCAAAACCTTTCTGCCCCATTCCTGACACGTGGCCTCTCCCAAGGAAGGTCCCAGCTGTGTCTAATGGTTTGGAAGGGGATGGGCTGGAGAGTTGAGCTTTTCATCCACCCACTGGATGTTTCTAAAGATGGCGGGATAATACAATGGAAACGGCTCATTCTCTGGCTTGGTGCCCAGGAAAACCATTAAATGGCGAGCAAGTCCCTAAAGAAGGTTTCTCTGCATGGACCAATACACAGTCCTTCCCTGTGAGCTCCTTTGCTCTGTGGCATTGAAGGGCTTTGATCCAAAAATAGAGAGAATTATTAATGATATGCTTGACTAAAGGTAGACGGAAATGGGTCTGAGCGGGGGCAGGGTTGGCTGTGCCCGGACAGGTGTGCGTTGCTCTGCGTTGGCGCCTCTGCCCACCTGTGTTTGCCTGTTTCCATGCAGGTTGCTTTCAGGGGCAGGTGGGCTTGGTGTGCAGGGTCAGGAAAGGACTTGCTCCGTGCCACATGTTTGACTTGGCTTTGCTGTACTGCGAGGCGAGCCAAGACTCGGTTCCCCTTTGGAATTTGCACTTCTGTTTCTCATGGGG